GCGATTCCATATATATGTGAATACAATTTTGGTGAAAAAAAAAATTTGTATTTTTGATTAGAATCATCCATGGTTGATTGATTCATTGGTTTGCGGTTTATGTCTAATTTTGCTTCTTTGTGTTTCTCTTTCTAATTCTTGAACATGTACATATATACATATATGAAAAAAGGAGTTTTTGTTTTGAATTGGCAATAAGTTTATGTTCTTTGAATTGGCAATAAGTGATACGAAATAAGCAAACTTTGCAAGAATCGTTTAGGGTTCTTCAAGTAGGCAACAAAAATTGGGCTTTGATGATGTTTTCAACATGAACGTTCTTCTTAATCATAACCTACACTAATCATCATCATCCAAAATAAGAAGAGGAAGCTGAGAAACTACTATACATTACAGAAGAAGAAAATTTTTAGAAACTTGTGTGCCATATTGCTCCTTCATCTTCTCCGCATCGTTGATGTACTTCCAGCATTCTATCTACCGATTTGCAGATTCCGCTACAGCTCCAATCGAACGATGCTGCACATGGGTTTCCTGCTTGACCCTTCCATTCACAATCTGCTCACCAAAAAAGTTACTATTTTTAGATTCATTGCTTATTTGATGTTTGTTAAGGGTAATGAACATGGATAGTTTTTTTTATCATCACCCATGGGTGTTCCGCAACATAGACTTCTATCATCGATATGTTCAACATCGAGACCAATGAACCAAGATCCTAAAGAGACATCTTCATTTGCATATTTATGAAGTAGTTGCCTGAATAGAGGTGAGTTAAATTCGGTGAATCAACCGGTTTACTGAATGTAATGAATCCGAGCTTGAGAGAACTCACCGGTTTACTGAGATATAAGTTGCTAAATCTTTGGAGATGGCATAGATTTGTCCAGTCGCATGTCTGAAGTACTTGTTTCCTTCTTCACCAAACTTCCAAAATTCAGGCTCATGGTATTTGACCCCTCTGCAACACAATATCCTCAAAAATGTTAAAGATCTGCCTAAAATCATAAGATTACAACAAAAATTTGTTGCTTACCTTTGAGCTAAGACAGGTCCAGACTTCATGCAACCAATGTACACCCGTGGTTTTGATCTGTGGCGAGCCAATGTAGAACCAAGCATTCCTGAATGATAACTAGACTTTGGTAAAGCTTTTCTTTGAATTGTGCAACAGAAATAATATGCTTTGAAAGACATAAATAACTGACCGAGATTTACGTGAACATCATCATCCACTTTGATGTAGAAGTCTGCATCCCATTTTGCAACAGCAGATGAGAAGTATATTTGGGTTTTAGACGATAATTCATGATATCCTTCTATGTGATTCTGCAAGATTGAAACTTCTGATTCAACGAGAGGAAAACAATAAAGCAATGTCGGGTCAAGCGATGCGAGGCATTTAATTACCAGACGAAAGAAGTCTTTGTGTTGTTCTTCTTCTGCTTCAATGGTGTGATCCAAGACTCCCCCAGGAGAAGAACTAGTAGGAATGATTGACAAATCAAATAACAGTCAATGTTTGAAACCAAAGACAAGTTTAAATTTGTACTACCTGTGACCTATGACAAATCGCATAATGATTCCTTTCTCTATCTCTAATCTTTTCAATCCATCCCCTGCAAAGGAATAAACAAAGCAATAATCTTTAAACACTTTTTGTTACATTCTGCTATGGAGAAAGAAGAGTATGGTTTGTTCTTGTTGAACCTTTAGGAAGCCAAGTTCCTCTTATCGAGTCTCTTCGTTTTCTGCTACTGAAAGCAGTCATGATTCCCATCACAAAGAACATCTTAGGCCGTTCCTTCGATCGGTCTGCTACTGATTTTGCAACAGATGGAGATCCATCTCCACCTTCAGATCTTGCTGCTCGAGCCGTGGCTAACTCTACTTCAAGCGACGAAATTGTCTTGTCTAATGTCCTGTATATGAAATGCATAATCAATAAATGTACATCTCTAGTACCAAAACATGTTTCAGTGAGACAAAAGGAACTTTACTTGATAACATCATGAGTATGCGAAACTCGCGAAAGAATGTCTCCTTCCTGAACAGAAGAATCAATGCCAAACTAAAATTAAGTGGAAAGACTTTGGTACAAATCACAAAATTAGGTTACTTGCCTTGCTCTGGCAATCAACAAGAGGATGAAGTGAACTAGCTTGATCATTCTGCTTAGACGAATCTCTCCCATTGCCATCTCTTGTCTCTGAAGTTGCCAATATCCTAAAATTAAAACAACTCTAACCATCAGCAAAAGGGCTTAAAATGTTCGATGTAGAACCAACTGGATCGTTAAAGCTAATCAACAATTGAGCTTTGTCTTATCTTCTTAAGATTGCCTAACTCTGTGACAAAGGACCAAGCTTCTAAGCACAGAACCAATAAAACCCCACTTGTAATGGGAACCTCAACAAGTCATGTTTTCATTAGAATTTAGCCAACTTTACGCAAAATTATGTATCAGAATGTTCCAGATTCACCAATGTGGAGACAGAACATAAAGTAAGAAAGACAAAGTTGCAGACTTTTAGCTACATCTCAAACGAAATCTCTCTAAATTTCATCAACAGTAACAACAGAGTAATCGGAGAAAGGAGAGAGAGAAAGAACCTGTTAACGAGAAGAACACCGAGGAAGAAGCTAGAAATGCAGAGAAGGAAAACCCATCTCGCTGAAACACCAGAAGCTACAGATTTCTGATGCCTTCCCATTCCCATTTTTTATTCTGT